CCCCAAAACCCCAAAACCCCAAAACCCCATGAGATAAATTTTCATTACAGAGCTGATTATTTCAATTAATTATCTATTTAAAATTGCACAATTTAAATGCCCAGAAAAGCAAAAGCACAATCAGAAGTTGCTGATGATAACAAAGATAAGTTGAATCATTCGCCAAATAGAAAAGATAAGGAGACTTCCTAAATGATTGATGAAGAGGTAAAAGCATCTACAAAGGCAACCAATAAAACTAGAGGGTCATCTAGATCAGGAGCTGCTAGAAAATCATTTTATGTGGATTCTAGCGATGATGATGAAAATGATATTGCTGATGATGATGATGAGGAAGTTGTGGTTGCAGCACCAAAGAATAAAAAATCAGTAAAATAAGCAAAGCCACCTAAAAAGGTTAGGAAAACAAATGATGGAGGCGATATCAAGGAAGAAGCTAAAAAGCAGTAAGCTTAACGCAAATAATCTAAGCCAATCTCAGTAATTCACATGTCTTTAACAAAAAATTAGTACAAAGTTGATGATAGCGATGAAAGTGAAGGGGGTTAAGATATCAGCGATGAATCAGATGATTTTTAAGTTAATGAAGTTGAATCTAGTGATTAAGAGAGTTCTAAGAGTGAAGATGAGGAAGAAAAAGGAAATAAGAAGGGCAAGTAAAAGACTTAAAATAAAAGCAAAGAATTGGTAAAAGAGAGCAAAAAGAGGACAAGAGATGGCAAAATTAAATAAATTTCAAAGGATAAAAATGATAAGAAGGATGCAGCTGATAAAGGCAAGCCAGCTTAAACTTCAGGTAATCCTCTAGGAGGAGGAGGTGGTCATAGAGAGAAGGATGATGGTGGCAAGAAGATGATGACTGATAAAGAAGCATATGCTGGAATCAAGGAGTATATGATCAAGGTAAAATAAATTAATTTAAAAACTTTCTAGGCAAACAGACCATATTCTCTGCAAAATGTCCTTGATAACATGCATGGGAGAGTTAAGAAGGTACAAGGTTAAAAGGTGCTCGATGATCTAACAGATCAGAAGACTCTTACATGTAAAGAATTCGGTAAAGCCAAGGTATATCTTGCCAACTAAGATAACTTTCCAACTACCAGCAATGAAGAGCTACTTAAGTTAGATCAATAGATTAAGACTCACAAAGATAATCTATAGTTAAAATAAAATAGACTAAAGGAGCTTCAAAACTGTAAGATAATAACTTTAAAATGGATAATATAGAGCTAAAAGATGTATGTTCTGGTCTTAACAATATCTAAATGAAAGCTGAGATAGAAAGGCTTAAAATAGAGGTAAGAACTTATTTTAAAATTTTTAAATGATAATAGAATGAAAATATCAGAACTAAGACTTAGAAATATGAAGAAGGAAATATTCAGATGATAAGTGAAGAGGAAATTAATGAGAAGAAAAAGGATCTTTTGAAGTATGGAATTGAATGGAAGAAGAGGAAAAGAGCTTGCATGGAAATGTATGTATAAATTTGATAAATTTCAATCATATTTAGAGTGGATATGATATGCGAATCAGCTGATTTGAATAGAAAAGAGTTTCTAGTATTAATAATACTTTGCTAATATATTTTTAGGCTAAGGTTGGGTTAGAACTAGATGAAGACTGTTAAGTAAATGTAAATGAAATATTAAATTGCTGATATCACAGAATTTCAGGGGAAAATGATTAAGTTTGTATATTATATTAAATTTATATATTTGGAATAAGATTTAAAGCCAAAATTTATAAAATTAAAAAATTAAAGCGACAAAATACTTGTAAATCAATCAAAGTTGAGGTTGGATCCATCCCTCCTTAGCAAGTGAGTTTCAATTTTGAGCATTCTCTGTGAATTTCTGAAGCGAAGACTTTCCATACTGCACACCTAGCTTGGCTAATTCACCTGGAAATAGCAACTTGATAGAGGACTCAATTTCCTTGGAGGATAATGTTGACTTCTTACAGAAAATCATAAGTCTTCTGCTCTCATCCATAAGGTTCTCAAAGAGATTAGCAAGGATCTGGTTGAGTTAGGCAATAGCGTTCTTGCTGATGGAAAGTTCTGGCTTGATCTCCTTCATTACCCTGAAGATATAGGTCTAGAAAGAGTTCTCACCTCTAAGTCTGGTGTTTCTCTTTTTCTTAGCCTTCTCATCCAATGTAGCACCAAGTTTTCCTGGCTAGCCTGCTTGAGCATCTGTGCCTGTAGACTTCTTCCTTCCTATAATTATATGTTTATATTGATAGAGTTACGTTACCTCTCTTGCCCTTCTCTTGATTGACGGCAGACTCACCATTGGGTCTGATTATCTGTGCCTAGTTGTTGGTTACCCTCAATGTAGATTTCCTATCTGCTTTCTTGGCGGGGACATTTTCTGTTGAGTTAGATGATGCTTGCTGACGAGAGTTCAGTGATACATTCTGAAGTGCATTCTTCACAGTATCTACCTTAGTTGCCTTGGAGTCTGCTCCTTTTGCCCCAGAGGCTTAAGAGTTCAAATTGGTCTTAGATGGTGTCTTGAGAATAGATTTCTATCCTTGCATTCTGGTGATAGTCTAAATAATTAATTATAAAACTAAATTCAGTTTAAAATTTATATTCAATTTAACCAATTAATCTAAACTCATTCATCCATTCTATTAATGATTAACGGGGTTTTGGGGTTTTGGGG